TTTTTCTTCATCCACCTGCTGGCCTCCACCACTTGCTAATGTTACTGAATCTGTGGAAGCTCCGCGATAGCCACCACACGAAGTAACGAGTAACGACCCTATCTAAAGCCCAGTAACGACTAACGTGTTCCTGATTTTGGCATAATAACTAGTTACCGTGCTCGTTACCACAATAATAACGTAGTTACTGTAACGCGTTACTTAATAACGCGTTAGTCCCAACACTGGTAATTATATGCAACATTCTCTGACTGGAAGAAATTTGTTTAACATTTAAACTTATTTTCTGCACATTCCAGCACATAATTTTTTGTTTTTGTGTTTACACTCACTCTTTCAAATAGATGCAAGTAAAACACAGCAGAAAATAAATAACATCAAAGACTAGCGGTCCTTTTGCTCTATTTTCACCTGTAAAGCAGGAGTGGCGTAGGCCAGCGGTCCCCAACCCCCGGGCCTCAGACCGCCCCGGCCGTAAGTCGTTTGGTACCGGGCCGCGAGAGTTGAGGCTCAGGTGTGAAATGTATAGTTTTCAGGGTTTTTATCGGTTTTCAGCGTTATTTTGTTATCGTTTTTCCTGGGTCTTTTCATGTGTGTTATGAATAAATCTTCTTTTTTTTGGTACCGGTACTAGTTTTATTTTGTTGTATTTATCCGCGACACCTTAAAGGCCGGTCCATGAAAATATTGTCGGGCATAAACCGGTCCGTGGCGCAAAAAAGGTTGGGGACCGCTGGCGTAGGCGGAGGTTTGCTCTGGTGCAGGTGTGCCGCAGCGGTCAGTTGAAGAATCCACGAGTTTCTCTGTGAATTTCCCATTACGTGGTAGCACACTCCCGGTGCTTGCTTGGAAGTTTAGGGGGTTTTTTGCTGTAAAAAGAAGTTTTCTTCCCACGCACAACGGACACTAATGTTTTTGTCACTTTTTATGGAATCAAACTCAAAGTAAGGTCAGTACTTCCACGCTTTAAACGCTGCACGCTCATACTCTCTCCCACACTCGATATATGATCCATTGTTGATCTGCACACAGCTGTTGCCACGAACGTCGCAAAAAAATCACGGTTTTAGTAACGCAGTAATGCAGCGTTCCTACGGGAAAGTAACGGTAATCTAATTACCGTTTTTGCAAGAGTAATTCCTTACTTTACTCGTTACCTGAAAAAAGTAATCTGGGCAGTAACGCGTTACATCTGATGGGCAATAACGCGTTACTTGTAACGCGTTCCTGCCCATCTCTGCATATGAGTATTGCTAATTGTGTCTCAACATCAAAGTGTCTTAATTTTCTCAAATCAAATCAAATCAAATCACTTTTATTGTCACATCGCATGTGCAGGCACACTGGCACAGCACATGCGAGTGAAATTCTTGTGTGCGAGCCCCACAAGCAACAGAAATGTGCAAACACAACAACACAAACCAGCAAATACAAGAATGGCTACATCTGAAACTAATAAATATATGTACAATATATAATAGTGTATGCATTTCTGGATGTGTATACTAAATATTATCCTACGTGTGTGTGTGTGTGTGTGTGTGTATACATTTTACAAATTAAATAGTAAAAAAATAATAATAAATAAAATATATAAAAATATACAGAGTTGAGTATGTGCAAAACAAGTGGCATTTATATACAGTGTGGAGTGCATAGTGTTTCTATTTATTTATTTGTATCCTTGAGCTGAGTTGTTTGTTTTGTCTGTTTTGTTTTGGTTTGGGTTTGTTTTGTTTTGTTTTATGGTGGTGTTATTGTAAAGATTAAAACTCAATAAATGCCTTTAAGGAAAAAATGCTTATGAGCAGGACCACCAGGATCTATAAGAACTTTCTAAACTTTATACTAAAGTAGTTCCTAAGGCAGTAAGTTTGTAAGTTGTGTATAAATTCAATATTAACCACTGGACATAACAAACAAATAAAATATAAACTAAAACTGCTGTTGAATAAAAATGAAGAAGGAACTTAAAATATTCAACAGAAAAACAACCACATTTTGGACTACGCTCCAGGTTTGCCAAATATATTTTAATGTGGCACAACTGATTCTGAATGCCAAAGTGGCTACAATACTACTCATCCTCACCTTCATCAGGAGTGGGAGCAGTCAAATAGCAAATCTAAATAATGTAGATTACACAAATTTAAAGTTGTGTCTATTAAGGAATTATTTTGGGAAGGAAGCCTTCTCAATAAAAGGATTTATTTGGAAGTCAGTATACAGCAAAATAATTACTTACCACTGCCACAAACCAAGTACATAAAAAGAAAAACTACAGTCTGTGATATGCTCGGGTTATCTCTTTTGATTTACCATGTCCGTAGTCTGGAACACATATTTCCAATTAACTCATCTTCAATTATTTTATTGGACATTTATAAAAACATTTAGTCCACCTAGAAATACATAAATTGTTTTGTTTGATGTCTCATTTCAGCGGGATACTTCACGCCACCTGGACTGGTTAACAACTGTTAGAGAAAGCCATGGATCTGTTGAATTTTCATCTCTGTCTCTGGCTACATCCATCAATGAAAGGGGAATATATTTTATCAAGGCACAAAACCAGAAAAAGGTACACAAATGAATTACATGTCAGTGTTTTATAATTTCAAAATAAAATAAAAAAAGTTTTACAATAAAACATTGTAAAACTTTTTCTTGTAGTAGTTAGTGTCACCTTTTATGTGAATTTCTTTGTAATTTTATTTGAGTATTATGTATATAAATTCTAAAAAACAAACATATTTGAACAATAAATTTTTTAGATAAGTTCCCCTTTAAGCTGATTTTCCTGTTAACCTTTCACTGTACTAATGTGCGTATGTGCATGGGATCATAGTTTCTCGGTCGAAGGACAAACACACTTCTACAGTAATCATTTTTTATTTTTCCCTTTTTAGATTACTTTAGAGAATTCACTGACCTTGCAAATTGAGGATGGACATGCAAACATGACATATACCTATGAGGACCTGAAAGAACTGCAAAATAAACTTATGCTTATGTCTGGAAAAAAGCAACAAAATCAGAGCGAAGTGGAGCGCTTCACTGAGGTATGATTTTGTTATCATTTGCTACATTGATGTTTTAACAATAGCTTATATTTTTATGTCACCTGTAATCTAATTTCTTCTTCATATTCAGGTGTTTGAAAACATCCAAAGATTTGCCAAAGCATTCGTAGACCTTCACACTGCAGGGAACCCACTTTTCAGGTGTTGGGAAGCTAAGATTTTTTGTAAAACTCAGAGTGACCCATGTATCATTATGGAAATTAGGTTTTGCAAGACCCTGTGTGGCTTCCAAGTAAATGGAAACTTAGTTGAACAGCTTACGGCTCTATCCAAGAAGATGGAGATGTTTCTTGATGACTGGCAAAACTTCATGGACACACAGAGATTTAACCACTACTACTTAAACTACTTCACAGCAGAACAAATATTCTACTTGTGCAGTGTTCTGATTCCAACAAACATGAATGCAGAACTCGAAGACAAAGCGCTGATGATGCTTTCTTTTATCAAAGCAAACTGCACAACATCAGATGTCCGGAGTATTTGGAGAAGGTTTTATAACCAATATGGCAAAAGGGATAATGAACACAGTGAGCCATCGTCACCCAGTGTTAGTCATTTTGCACATGACAGTGACTCAGCAGATGAAGCAGACAAGGCTCTTGGATTGAAAGAGTTGGAGGAGTTGTGGAATGGTTACATGAAAAACAAGGAAATATTTTTCCATGACTTACTAGACATTAGGAGTTTAGGACGTCTCTTGCAGTTGATGACAGAAAACCGAAATCAGAATGAGTTGGAAGATGAACCGGTACTCTCAGAGACGAAAGACCATTCACTCAGAAGGGAGTTTCCAAAAGGCCTAAAGTCAAAACAACCTAATCTCATAATCTGCCAACATGATGAGATCCTGACTTCAAGTATCTGCTTGTACATGACCAGTGACTTTGAGCCATTGCCAACTTATGATGAAGTGTTTTTGTGTACCCCTTCAACATCTTATGAACAAGTAGAGCTTTTCCTGAGAAGATGCCTCACATCAGGTGACACTGGCCAGAAGATTTACACAATGCTGTGGGCAGACCAGCTTTCCTATGATGTTAGCTGTGCAATGGAAAAGTGTTTTCAGAAACTGCATTCCCATAAAAAGGATTACAGGCTAGTGATCTTTTGCAGCTCTGATAGAGAGCACACTTATATCCCTACTGCCTTCAGTCAGTACAAAACAGACTTTGTGCCACAAGAGCCACTGGAAAAGATCCAGCAGTACTTGTCCCTTCATTACATCGTTACCTCAGATTACAAGAACGCCATGTTCAAAGGTGGCCATTCTCTGGGTATTGTTGCTTCCAGTCGTGCAGGAGTAGGTGAGTTTTAAATGTGACTTTCTCTCTGTCAATCCATTATGTAAAATAATTGTTAAGATGGGACATCAATAAAACCTTAAAAAATACATCTCTTTTTACGTTTATGCATAAATTTGCTCTAAAAGCTTTAATCCAGACTTTAATAAGGTTTTATTCATGCATTTTGCAATATCATCTACTATAGATAAAGACAATATGTAGTTCCTTTATCACATATTTTTTAGGGAACCCCATGTAATTTTGTTAAAGTGGTACACTCCTTTAAAATCCATCTTAAAGCATGTTTGTTGTAATTTAATAACATAGTTATTTACACAGCATACAGCAACTTTCAGATTTCAGTTATTTTACTTTAAAATGTCCAGTAATGCTTAGCAGTTACTTTAATACTGACAACAAGTGCAAATATCTTTGAAATACGTTTTACAATAAATATTATAAGTTTGCAGTATTTATATAGAAAACAGGGTACTGAATTGTATCTTGCGTTGTGTGAAAAATACAATTATTGACATGATTTCTGTCAACCAGTTAATAGATTGTTATTCTACCATTTTAGGCAAGTCACTGTATGTCCAAAGACTGTATGAAAAGCTAAAGAAATGTGCCACACAAGGAATGCCATTTAAGAAGTGCATCAGACTAACTGAACATGAGGTTGATGATAACAAGATTCTTCAGTTTTTGTATGACACACCACAACAAAATGAAATTAAGGTGTTTCACTTTGATGTCACATCTTCGGTAAGTCATTTTTAAGTAGCCATAGTAAAAGTGCTATTATTTATGAAATTATTCAATTTAAATCTAAATTTTGATTCTTTGAGAATCCCTTAGCTAGTCATAAATTGCTTTATCTAGTAATACCGATTTTTTTTTTCTCATACGTTGTTTATAGGTGCAAAAAGGCCTGAATGAGCTGATATTCAAGCTATTCTTTTTGCGGTACCTGATGGATTCAGATGGACAGATGTGGCACTGCAGCCAGAACCACTTATATATCATTGAATTACTAGAAACCACAAATGATCAGAACAGATGTGCCACCAGATCAGTGAGTGGAGATTTTACTGCTTGTACAGTTTATATACAGATAATTGCTGAACTTGCGATTTGCAGCTTGTAGGGGAAGATGATATTAAGATTGAGAATAGACCTGAATGTTCTAAACATAATTATATATTTATATACTTTTAGGGACGAAAGGAAAACTTTGCATTCTTGGATGTTTTCCCAAAGGTGTTTTGCCGTCCACCAAAAGAGGTTATGACTTTGGAAATGCAGAAAGAGCAAAATCCAGACATGGACTGTGATGACCCCCTCATGGATGATGAATGTTTCAGGAGTGAAGCTTATCAAAGACCATACCAGTACCTCACACGTTTTCACAACAATGACAGTCTTGACAACTTTACTTACCGAGGCATTGAAGGGACTCATGCAAAGTGTCTTCAGATACTCTTAATCAATTGTGGTATAATCGATCCATCATGGGCAGAGCTGCGTAACTTTGTCTGGTTTCTTAATCTTCAGTTGAAAGACTGTGAGAATTCAGTTTTCTGCAAATTTGAGTTGGTTGGAGACACTCTTTGTGGGTTCAAAAACTTTGTGGTTGAGTTCATGATCTTGATGTCCAAAGACTTTGCAACACCATCACTATGCATCACTGACCAGAGCCCAGGGAGGCAACACGTTGACATCAGTGGACTAAAAGAAAAAGACTTAGCTCCATTCCTCATTAGAAAAAGGTGGGAATCAGAGCCACATCCATACATCTTTTTTAATGACGACCACATGTCCATGACATTCATTGGATTTCACCTTAGGCCCAATGGCCAGAAAGGGGTTGATGCAGTAAATCCTTTGACAGAAGAAGTGATTAAGAAGAACATCATGACTCAACAGCTGTACAATGGCTTAAAACATCAGAGAGTTCCTTTCAATGCCGACTTTGATCAGCTTTCTAGAGCTGACAAGATTGAGCATCTGTGCAGTGTGCTTGGCATCAAGTGGCCAACAGATCCCGATGTAACATATGAATTGACCACCGACAATATCCTCAAAATGATGGCAATTCATATGAGATTCAGGTGTGGCATTCCTGTCATCATAATGGGGGAGACAGGATGCGGTAAAACAAGGCTGATAAAATTTATGTGTGAACTAAGAAGATGTGGAGCACCAGCAGAAAACATGAAACTGGTCAAAGTTCATGGAGGAACTACGTCAGAAATGATTTATGAGAAAGTGAAGGAAGCTGAAACTCTTGCAAGGACCAATAAAGAGAATCATGATCTTGACTCAGTTCTTTTCTTTGATGAGGCAAACACCACAGAAGCCGTTAGTAGCATCAAGGAGATCCTTTGTGATAATTCAGTGCAGGGAGAAGAGTTTTGCTCTAATACAGGGTTATATATTATTGCAGCCTGCAACCCTTACAGAAAACATACAGACCAGATGATCGAGCGGCTGGAAGCATCAGGACTGGGTTACCGGGTTCGGGCTGAGGAGACTGAAGACAGACTTTGCTCCATCCCTCTCCGCCAGCTTGTGTATCGTGTTCATGTGTTACCACCCAGCATGATACCTCTTGTTTGGGATTTTGGACAGCTCAATGACACAACAGAGCAAATGTACATTGAACAAATAGTACAAAGACAGGTGAAGGCCAGCGCGATTGACAAAAACTATATCCCAACAATAATTAAAGTGTTATCGTCATCGCAAAAGTTCTTGAGAGAGAGGAAAGATGAATGTAGCTTTGTCAGTCTGAGAGATGTTGAACGTTGCATGCAAGTATTTCTGTGGTTCCACAAAAATCACCCAATGTTTGCTGAAGCTCTAAAAGCCTTTTTACAGCAGCAATCACACAGACAAAAAAAACTACCTGCTAGTGACAGAGTAATCTGGTCACTCTTGATGGCTACTGGAGTGTGCTATCAGTCCTGTTTGGAGAGCAAAAACAAATATCTGAAAACTATCAGCCAAATTCTTCCTGAGTATAAACCACAGAGAATAATGCAGGAAATTCAACTCATGCAGGATCTCCTGCTCAATGGTGTACCCATGGCTGAGACAATAGCCAGAAATGAGGCTTTGAAAGAGAACTTTTTCATGATGGTGGTCTGCATTGAGCTGAGAATTCCCCTTTTTATTGTTGGGAAACCAGGAAGCTCCAAATCACTATCTAAAACTCTAGTTGCGGACGCAATGCAGGGTCCTACATCACATTCTGACCTCTACAAAAAGCTCAAGCAAATACATCTGGTGTCTTTCCAGTGTAGCCCTCATTCAACTCCTGAAGGAATCATCAATACATTCAAGCAATGTGCCCGCTTTCAAGAAAGCAAAAACCTGGATGAATATATTTCAGTAGTTGTTCTTGATGAGATTGGATTGGCTGAGGATTCCCCGAAAATGCCACTGAAAGCACTGCACCCATTACTGGAAGAGGGTTGTGTTGATGATGAGCCAAAACCTCATAAAAGGGTTGGGTTCATTGGAATTTCCAACTGGGCACTGGATCCTGCCAAGATGAATCGTGGAATTTTTGTGTCCCGTGGAGATTTAAATGAGCAAGAGCTCATCAAAAGTGCCAGAGGAATCTGTTCCTCTGATCAACATGTTCTTGAAAAGATTAATGGTCTGTTTGAGCCTTTTGCAAAAGCATATATGACAGTATGCGATGAAGGCAACGGATTTTTTGGTCTGCGGGATTTCTACAGTCTGATAAAAATGTTATTTTCAATTACCAAAACGTCTAATAAGCGTCCTACTGCAGATCAGATCACCGGAGCAGTCCTGCGAAACTTTAGCGGAAAAGATGATGTTGATGTAATTGACATATTCAGCAGAGAAGTCGGAACTGACTTTTCCAATACTAATATCACAACTATTGATATGGTTGAGCAAAGCATCTGTCCAGCTTCCAAAATGGAGGAAAGTCGTTACCTTTTAGTACTCACAAAAAACTTTGCTGCTCTTCAGATTCTCCAAAAGATATTCTGCTCTCATCAAATTCGCCCAGAGATAATCTTTGGGTCAAGTTTCCCAAAGGATCAGGAGTACACACAGATTTGCAGGAACATAAACCGTGTCAAAGTGTGCATGGAGACAGGACAGACAGTTGTGCTTCTCAACCTTCAAAATCTGTATGAAAGTCTGTACGATGCTCTAAATCAGTACTATGTGACCCTCGGAGGTCAAAATTATGTTGATCTTGGTTTAGGAACACATCGTGTGAAATGCAGAGTTCACCAAAACTTCAGGCTCATCGTCATTGAAGAGAAGGAAGTGGTTTATGAGCAGTTTCCAATACCACTCATTAACAGGTTGGAGAAACACTACCTTGACATCAACACTGTCCTCACAGAGGAACAGAAGATCATTGCCAGACAACTGGAGGAATGGGTTAATGATTTTGTCTCCTTAAGTAGTTACTCCTCAGAAAAGAAGTATGATCCAAGTGATGTGTTCATTGGCTATCACTCAGACACTTGTTCCTCTGTGGTCATGCAAGTAACAGAGCGTGAGAGTACTGAGACTGATGCTCAGGTCACTCTGAACAAAGCCAAAGACATTCTGCTCAACTGTGCCACTCTGGACTCAGTGGTTCGTTTGGAAAAATCCAAACTGCCTGATGAGGAACAAGAGCATTTAATGCAAGAGTTTGTTAAAGAAGCAATGCACAGTTCACTGGGAGACTACATTGTGTATCACACCCAGCAGCCTGAACAGTCACACTTCTTATTCACTGAGGTAATTTTTTTGTTTGCTTTCAAATATTACACAGCAGCCGAATAACTTTGTAACTTGTTTAAACCAAGTATTGATAATCTGTCTTGAATTCTAGGCCCGTTGAAACTGCTATAATTTTTAGTTCAAAAGAAGGAATATTAAGTGTCATTATGGGCATATGTTGGGTGTTGATGTCAGGTTGATGTCAGGACTCTTTATTTGCACTGAGAGTAAGTTTTTAAAGAAAAATATGTTCTTCATATTACAACTAGTTTTTACTTAATATACTCTTAATTTCTCACACTATTTTCTGCTAACGGTTTTTCAACTTTCATATTATCATGGAAAGAAGAAGCATTAGTTAAGATTTTTTTAAGGCTTCAGTATAATTCTTATTTGGTTTTGTTAAAAGACAGTTAGAATTTCACGTGGCTAACTAAATGTGAGGAAAACCTGATACTGTGTATAAACAATACCAAATAGTTTGTGGAATGCTTTATTAATTACATATAATGACACATGAAGGAGACATGAAAATACACAAAATGTGGGTTGTCTTTTTTTGTCATTTTGTCATTCTTGGTTCTTTTCTATTCTCAAGGTTACAACCTTTTCCAGGCTGCTCACTGCAACAGACACTCAACAGCTGCAGAACCAGATAAAGCTGGATGCTGTACAGCTGCTATCACTCCAGCAGTTTGATACTGAGTACTCTTTCCTCAAGAAAATCAGGTATGCATTCATAATATAAATAAATAAATCATCTGCTGGTGTTCATTTTAATTAAACTGATCACCTGTCTTTTTTTTTTACACCCTTGTGCTTTTATATCTTGTGATCTTTCTTATTATAATCAATTAAAATTAATGGTGTCTATTAGGGGTGCAACTATACATAACATTCAAGGTTCGGTTCGATACTTTGGTGTCACGGTTTGATATTTTTTCGATACAAGAAAATGTTCATGCTTTTTTAATTTGTAATTTATTAAAATTAGAAATATATATTTTAACTCAAACGTACAGTTTTTAAATTTAATGTTGCTGAAACAACAAAGGGATAAAATAATAAATCTATCTGATCGAGAAATACTCATCTTTGGAAAAGAGAGTTTATTAAAGAGAAATGGCTTTTTCAAAAAATAAAAGCTATACTATACGCTTCTTCTGGGCTATATTCTCAGCAACATGTTAAACATATCAGGTCCCCATAAGGAGAATCGTGTGCTAACGGCTGTCTAAATGACTCGGGTAAAGTTTGTAGCATGCGTGCTTGTTGTTTTTCTCGGCTTCCACTTGTCTTTGCACTAGGATGATGTTGGAGTAAATGTGCAGTCATATTCGTTGTGTTCCCACTAGTGCTGTCAGCGTTAATCTCGTTGAAATGACGTTAAAGCCACAACACGGCAAATCTCTGTTAACGAGCTACCGCGGATCGCCCCGTGCGTGGGGCTGGATGGCGTCAATGAGCTAACTGTGCTAACGCAGTAGTTCCCACCCAACTGGTCGCAGCAGATGGCCGCCCCTCCCTGAGCCTGGTTCTGCCGGAGGTTTCTTCCTGTTAAAAGGGAGTTTTTCCTTCCCACTGTCGCCAAAGTGCTTGCTCATAGGGGGGTCATATAATTGTTGGGTTTTTCTCTGTATCTATGAAGCGCCTTGAGGCGACTTTTGTTGTGATTTGGCGCTATATAAATAAAATTGAATTGAATTGAATTGAATGTAATTGAGCATTGCGTGGCGCATCCGACATACTGTTTTACTTTTGTCCGTGACGCGCTTAACTCCAGGGTCATACTTCACATGAAGACCAAAATAGTTCCAAAGGCCACATCTGAATGAGGGTGGGGGAGGTTCAATTTGCCATGTTGCAACGAGCTTAGCTTCTGTCTTGCTAGCTTGCGCTGCGCTCAGTGGATCTGCGCTCGACAGTGCAGCCTAGGCGGAGTAGTCGAACGCAGATCCACTGAGCTCTCAACACAGACAGCATCGTCAGAAGAAAAGTTGATCAAATAAATTAAAAAATTTGTATTGTTCGATACATATGTGTAGCAAACCGAAAGCACTGTATCAAACGGTTCAATATCGATACGAGTATTGTTGCACCCCTAGTGTCTATTATAGTGAGTAGATGCATGGATCCACATACCACTTAGTTATTGTTGTGTTTATTCAAATATATGTTTTAATATATGTCTCAATACTAGGGAATTTCTGGGCTCAACACTTGCAGACAAAGTGCTTATTATCCAAGCGGAGTATGATGAAGGCTCCCACAGAAGGAATATTCTTTCTTCAGCCAAGTGAGCAGGAAGATCATCCCATAATGACTTTTATTTAATTTGCTAACATTAATGCAAAATTTCTAATTTTCTCTTTTACTTTCTTGTTTGAATTTCAAAGATATTCATGCTTCAATGAAATAAACAAGTATGACACTACTGATGACATGAAGACGTTTGTGTACTTTGTCATCAAGCTACCTCGAATGGAGGGTGGGACGACCTATGTTGGTTTTCAAGGCGGTTAGTCCTGCCACACACAGACACACACACACACAGACAAACAAAGGTTTTATTTCATGTCAGCGAATTTGTGATGTTTTAATGTTAATATATATTTTAATAAACATGTTTCATGTTTAATGTGTTATGTAACACATTAAACGTCAACATCAAAAAATTTAGTGTTCACAGAGGACAACAGTTAACTGTGTCTTTCTTATTCATACCTTTTCAGGTCCTTGGAGATCTGTTCACATCGATGATCTCAGAAGATCAAAAGAGTTTGTTTCAGATGTTCTTTCTTTGAAAAACCAACGCATCAGTGATCTTTTTGAAGATCCACCTGAGGGTAAATCACCATTTTTTTTTCCTGTGGAATATTTTGTATACTACTACTACTACTACTACTAATAATAATAATAATAATAATAATAATAATAATAATAATAATTCTTTTTTCCAAGCCATGGAGACAGAAGATTACACCGGTGTACCACAAATAGCTGAATCCACTGTAAGTGTTATTTACCACATTTAAACCTTGATAGAATATCGGTATTTCCACACGACCAAAGGACAGTTTATTCATCTCTGAGAAGGTTTAATATTTATTACCACTTTCCCTCTTTTACATTTATTGTCTTCTTTTTTCAATACTTTTAATCAGTGGTACCAGGCTTATTCAGTGTAACTACTAAACATATTTGTCAGTGCTGAAATAGATAAAATCCAATCCAATCCAATATCCAGTGATGATATTTAAAATATTACAATGATATCAATATGGAAAAAAAATTTAATTTTTTTTTAATGTTTTTTGAATTCAAACAGCTGCATCTGTCAGAAAATCTTTGATTCTGAGTTATGTAAGACAGTCTCACTGGTTGACTAATATATCCCACCCACTTGACAGTTACTCTTCTGAGAATGCTGTGATAGCAGTAAGCAGTGGTTTAAATGTTGTGTGTGTTAATCATTACTATTCATTTTCTTATTAATAATAATTCACAATTATTTTGTAATAATTTTTTTCAGGTTTTGGAAGATGTATTTGATACTACAGATCTGGTGAGAAGTTGTGTGCAGAGTGCAGTGAGCATGCTGAGAGATGAAGTGGACAGTGGAGAATTTAGCACCAAGAGGGTTGAAAATCTGCTCACTCTTCTGGATGGAAATTATACTCAAGGTAGAAAATAATGATGTAAATGTAACACCCGTCCCACATTCTATTGAGAGGGGTCCTGGGTTCCTCTTGTTACTTACTACTGATACTCCCTTTTTGATGCTTGTGACATGACATGTGCAATAAAATAGACTATATGGAAATGAACCACAGACAAGCAGGTCAATTATAAATTCAACTCCACTTTAGTAATGATTAGCTCCAATAACACAAAAGGTAAGGTATCTAATATCAACTGTAACCAAATAATTAAATAATATGGTGGGCCCACACACACTCTCACCGACACACACACCTTAACTGCAACAGTCTTTCCGTGTTAGCAAACACCTTGTTGCAGGCCTGAGTCGTGGCTCGGGTGCGTTGGGACCTAAAACAACATGGCCGCTTCACTTGTTGCCAAGCACTAAAATAAAAGCACGTGCAAACAACAGTACTCATGGCTCCAGGCAGTTCAAGGGGCTAGTCGGGGAAACTGGGTCAAGGCCACCAGCAAGGCACAGCAGCAGCACTCACAGTTGCTGTATTCACATATTCTCACGTTAACACATAAGAAAAACAGAAGGGACCTCTCTGGCCTGCCAGCAAAGACCTCTGTGTCCTCCTACTGAATTAAATAACCCTGGTAAATGCCGATTTGCATACTGTTACATACTCTGTCAGCAATATTAACATTTGCTAAATACATGAGTACAGAGCAGGACATGAGCTAAGCAAACATACTAGGCTAAGTTAGCGGCTAATCGCAGCTAACAGTCAGCCCGTTTTACATGGCAACTTAAGACACAAGTTTCAAACAAAACTCACAGATTCATATTTACCTCGCAGTAGGGTCAGTGTTATGGACAGCTACAATGAAACTGCAGCCAAAATGCATTTTGATGAAAAAATGTGATGACATAAATTAATTTTGTTTTCAAGGAGTGTTTGCAGAAATTGTGAGGAAGCGTCTTCACTCACTGTTAAAGGATTATGAGGTCAACATCCCCAATCCAAAAAGCTGGGTCCTGAATGAGGCATCTAATGTCATTTCTCTTCAAGAAGGAGGGACATTTCTGTAAGTTTCTGTAACATTTGCCTCATGCCATACTTTTTTCTCTTTTTTTTGCTGGGGGGGGGGTGTATTTCATTAAATCACTTATTCATCATTTATTGAAATACATTTTATGTCAAATGTAAAATACACAACTCCAAACAAGACACAACAGTTACTTGTCTCACCTGTAACCCTGGGTTGATATCAGCAGATGTCAGGCTGATTTTATGAAAGTTGCATGAATATTTCTTTCAGACACACACTGTGGAGGAAAATCCAAGCGGTTGTCACTCCACTTCTGGCCTACTTGGTCTCAATCATTGACCGAGATTGCAATATGGACCTTCTCTTGGATGATGAAGAAGATATCAGGAACCTCTGGCTTGAAATTTTTGGGAACAAAGAGATGCTCAGTGTGCCGTATGTGAGGGTGGAAAACAAGTAGGTATCTTTTGGTTATGGTATTTGCTCATATCAGATTGGACCCCTTTGCCTTCAGAACTGCCTAATTCTTGTGCATATTGATATGATAGCATCACACAGTTGATGAAAATTTGTTGGTTGCACATCTCTGATGTCAATCTCCCACATCTATTGGATTGAAATTTGGTAACTGTGGAGGCCATTTGAGTGCAGAGAATTCTTTCTCATGCTCAAGAAACCAGTTTGTGATGATTTGATCTTTGTGACATAGTGCGAAGCAGCCATCAGATGGGTACACTGTCATCACAAAGGAATGAACATTGTCACCTGTAATACGTAGGCTATGGTCTTTAAATTACATGTAGTTGGTACTAAGGGGCCCATGGTTTGGCCAAAGGATATCTCCCACACCATTACACCAGCAGCAGCTGGAACTATTGATACAAAGTAGGATGGATCCATAAGGGTGCAATAGAAGAATTTGACACTCTCCAGCTTTGGCAAGTTCATACAAACGGTAGCCTCACTTTCTTGTTCTTAGCTAACAGGAATTGTATCCAGTGTTGTCTTCTGCAGCTTTAGAAGCCCACCTGCTTTAAGATTTGATGTGTTTGTGTTCAGAGATGCAACCCTAGCAATGATTATGTTTTAAAATACCAATTGATGATCAGGTTGTTTTGTCTAAATGCACTGAGTTACTGTCTTTGGCTGATTAGAAAGTTAATGAGCAGCTGAACAATTGTAACTAATTAAGTAGCTGGTCAGTGTATTCAGTGCAAATTGTTTGACTTTGGGGTTTTTTAAGGGACAGTCTTTTTAAATGATCAGTGGTAAAATTACTCTTGTCAAAGTGGTTAATTTTCTGGCACATCATCTATTTAAAAATAGCATTTGTAAAAAAAAAATTAATCTTGGCCCTCTTACTTTTACAGAGTATTAATGGTACAAAGCCACATCACAGGTGGCCACACCATGTGCTGCCGTATGCCATTCAGTTGGTGGATCAAAGACTTCCTAGATGGGCTCATGATGCAAGCAAGACAATCAAAACATCAAAGTAAATATGCCTTGAAGTTGTGCTTTAATTGTTAGTTTAAACCTTTTTATTTTAAATTGAATCCTAATATATTAATGGAACTCTTACCTTTTTTAATTTTTCTTACAGAGCATTCGTTTGGGGATTTCCATGATTTGTTCTTGAAAACTCCACTTGGCACTTACATGGCAAAAAATGTGAATGAAAAATTGAAAAACGAATTTTTCAAAAAGTACCTGCAGGATTTTGTTTCCATGACCATGAAAGTGGCATCAGATGAAAAATTAGAGGTGAGATGAAAGAAGGAAAATGCACAATAACTGTCTCCATTAGTACAATGTGACTTTTCATTTCCTCAAATATAGGCTTGCTTCATGTTTTCTTGAAAATGCTTATGTTTGATTAATGTTACCTTTGGTTTGAGGTAAATCCCACTACCCAACAACATAAAATCCAATAAGAAGAAAAAAATCACTGCACAAACCTTTCTCAGTTGTCACAACCATCCAGTTTACTACACTCTAATATAGTGGAGCAATTAGGATTAGCTAAATCTTTTCATCAAAGTACTGGTAAAAACTAATCATTAAAGGTAACTTTAAAGGTTCAAATATAAGTTTGCTGGAATGAGTGTGGAAGTATTATAATGCATAGCAACAATGTGGAGCAGATCAAAGCAATGCTTTGTTAATTACACTTTGTATTTGGTGCTTTACATGGCTCAGAGTGGGACATAATCATTCGGAATTTTTTCAATCAAAATAATACATTAAATGTAATGCCAGTTTAAGTTGCTAATATTCCAAACAAATATTGTGTCAGTAATCTACTTGGGCCTTTACTCCTCAGCTACTTTGTCAGGCCATGGCCAGCTGTGTTGGCGAAATACAGAGACAAAAACGAGATGATGAGCTTTCTCTACCGCTCATCCACATTGCCTATCATTTTTGCCAAAGCCGTCTTCAGAACCTTTCACGGATGATTTCTCTACACACTGAAATTGTTTCACCTTTGCAAAGAAACCAGCAAATTAGACGTTGTCCTGAAATGGTAAGTGTATTTCTTCATTCCTGGTGCTCTGACAATTTATTTATAAAATTGCCTTTAGGGTGTGGATATTTTTAACAATCATAGAACTATTCAAAGGATATTATAAATATTAGAAAACTGCTTAATCACTTACAAACTGTTTTGTTCTGCTGTAGGTTTTGGATGTCTATGCAGCCACGGCATGTGTTGAAAGCCTGGAACCTTGTAATTTAGAGAGTGATACCCGCTGCCAGCATTGGCTGAGGAAGGTGAAGAAAGTGCAGGCTTCACTGGAATTGATTTGCTCTCAAAATAATCTTCAACAGTATGGTGAGCACTGCAAGAAAGTACTCCGTGACGTCAGGTAAGATACTGATGCAGTGAAAGTAGAATTTTGTTGCCCAGTTCTCTCTAGTGTTGACTGAAAGAAACTGCGAAAGATTTTTGTAGTTATTTATTGTTATGACTTAAAGTTATGGGGATTTTTTAATGCAGTATATTCTTATTTTAGCAAAGATGTAGCACACCTATTTAAACATAAGATCTGGGACATTAAAGTGTCAACTTATGCTTCCCCCCATTGCTAACCGACATGTTTAGTAAATCCTAACACAGGTGTAAAATGCTGACTTTGATAGTGCTGTAGGGGTGGGTGATATAGCCCTAAAGTTATGTCAAAACATTATAAGAAAATCTGTAATAATGATATTTCTGATGATATAGAAACAAAAAACTGAACTTTTTTTTGTGTGATTGCAGCTTGCGGGCAGCAACATGTATTAGTGCAAACAAAATAAAGGGCATTGTCCTCTTTTCCAATGAGCTGCTGTCAATGATGACACAATCTCATTTTAAGTGTGAATATATTGCCAGTATAAATGACCCAGTATAAGTCAAATGTAAGCACAAAAGTAGCCTATGTAATATCTTCCTGGAAATTCTAAGTATGTAATAACCACTAGTACTAGTTGAACACTAACTGTAACTCAACTCAACTGTGTAATTCTACAATGCTGCACAGTATCATCACATAATAAAACTGAAAATTATTTTCTATTTGGGACATTGTATGTTGGGTCAAGCTTTTCAGCCAACTTCTTGTCCTGATTTACCACTATTTGACCACAGCATTAGTTTCCATCCACCGCTGGCTCTTCCTGATAATTAGCAAGTGTAGCTTGTTGAGTCAGTTGTTTACATTTGGGTGGCACATCAACAGCTACTAGTGTCTCCTTCTTCATAGTCTTCCATATTTTGTACTCTGCTTTGTTATTGGTTATTTAAGTAGCTCCATGTTTTTTACTCAATTGTCTTTAGAGGCTGGCACGGAGCTCAGTCGTGCCTAAGCTTATCTTGTTGTTTGAAGCATAAATATTTTATATCACATAAAAATGACCAGGATGATATGACACAGCTCATATCATTAGTCTATCATTAGTGTATATATATATATATATGTATAT